CTTGTCTATAACACCATATTTAGGATTCAAGATGGAAATTCGAGTGGACCGAATGTCACTAACGAAGACATATTCTTCAAACAGGAAACGGTGAGTCATTGTTTTTTCTAACAAGCCGGAGATTGCTTCTATATCTGATGAAGACATATTTCCAAAGGGAAATAGCATTATGAGGTCATATGCTGCCCCATGTGGAAGCTGATTGGCTCAGGAATAGGTAAATCGAGGTAAATAAAATTGCTCGTGCTAAAATAAAAAAAGTAAACAAAAAACGTTCTCGGTTTGACTCCTGGAAGCTGACTGACTGCATTCGTTACTCTATGAAGTGACGTCACTAAGTAGTCGTCACGCGACCAATGTGACTTCATCTCAACCAAAGGGAGATAATCGCTTTTTCTATCCCTACAATCTGAAGAAAACCGGAAGTTACAACGGTCCTAACGTTGTGTTAACAGTAAAGATAAGGACAATACCTTGAATGTCAATAGTCTAAATCATGATAGCTCTTCATCCCAGATATTGAGACAAATAACATCATTTTTATCTTAATTTTTATAAAATTTCAAAATTTTAATTATTTTTTCTTATACAATTTTCTTATCACTTTTATTAAAATAATTTTTATAGGGAAGAAAGTTCTGGAAAACCATGATCTCTCACGTCCTGAATGTACACGGCACATAGAAAAAGAATGATTTTAAACAATTGATACAGCTCAGCTCAATAGCATTGTCAGAAAATCAAAGACTACTTAAAAAAGATTCTTACTTATTATTGAAACAGTTACATTTTCCTTCTCGTAGAGTTAACTTCTTTCAGACTAAAAACTGAAAGACCAAAGGAAATTTGACATCAACATAAATGTGAGTTTTTCTTTTCTTTTTCTTAACCGTATTTTTAAAAAATTTAAAAAGTGTTTTAAGAAAAAATGAGAATCCTTCGCTAGCAATTTTATTTTTATTAATTTTTAATTATAAAAATTATATATATTTTTTTTAATGGAATGAGAAATTTTAAATTGTTTTGTTTGTAGAAGTAGATCTCTCTTTCAATTATACCGTTGGATTTTCTCGCCCATTTCGCTCGGTTTAGATAAAATTGATTGTTGGTCTTAATTGTATTTCTTGTTCTGGAATAAAATTCTAATTTATTATTTAAAGTGTTGAGAATCTAACTTTAATTAAATTCAATGTATTAATCGTTGGCGGCCATTGATTTTTGCTTTGTTTTTTTTTTCTTGCACCAAAAATATTCTTATTGTTTTAAAATTTTGCTACACCTTAAAAATAAACTTTTTGACACAAAAAATAAACTTTAAACATTCTTTTTGCACAATAAAAAATTGACGGAATTTAACGAATTTAAAAATTTTATGAAGAGGCTAAAAGTAAAATTTAAAAATAACAAGATGTCGCCAATTTCTTTTCGATGATAGGTAAAAATTTGGCATAAAAGTTCAATTTAATATATATTAAAAATAAATTTCACAATTTCGAATCGATTTTATCCAACATTTGGGCGAATACCGAGCGAAATGGGCGAGTAAATCCAACGGTCCCTATAGTACAATTGAGCCTCTTTTACTTTTAGTTTTATTAAATGTATATTTACGAACTTCTAAACCAAATTGCAAATAAAATACAGCATTCAAATATCTCATTAAACTTCAGATAAATATTATTATTATTATTATTATTATTATCTATGTCTTGTTTTCCTTTGTACAGTAAAAAAGTAAACTACCATTTATTAAATATGTTAAAGACAGTACCACCAATATAGCAATAAACGACCAAATCTTTATAATTAGAATAAAAATGTGAATTTTTTTGATAATTATATTATGTAAATTTGGGATGTTAATGTGGTGGCCATTTCATGCAAAAAAATGAGGACTTGTTTGAAAGTTAAGTGTACTCATACAAAGGAAAACAATAAACAAGACCTAATAGTATCTGTAAGGCAATATCGACCATTAAAATAAGTAAACTTTATTTATTTGTTTATACATTAATGTAAGTATGAAACTTTTAATAGAAGATATTTGATTTTTTTGGTCATTAATTTTCTGCGCATCCTATTCTATGCAAGATTTAAATCTGCTCTCAAAAAAAATTCGGTACCCAAGGTTTAAATGTATTATTCATAAATAAAAAATCATTTTTGAAGCTTACCCCAAGCTTCAATTGAAAGCTAAAGGGTTCAATTTTCTAATTCCAGAAAACAAAACACTGTACTGTATTTCAACTAGAAATTATAATGATTTTAATCGATTCTTCTGAAAAACTAATTGAAACGGCCATGTTTAACTTTTTTTTATAGAGAAATGTAAACAAAAATAATTTTTTGTTTTAAAAAAACCGCCTAAAAAATAACATATAGATTTTTGAAAACGTTACTTTCGTAAAATTAGCAAATTTAAAGTTTAATTAATCTGTTTTAAAACAAACATCACTTACTTACACTATGAAATTTTTTAGGCAAAAATTTCTTCACTACGGAGTCTTGAATTTTCTCGAGTCTCCATAGATAATTTGATAAACATGTGTTGACAGGTTTAGTATGGTGGACCAGAGCTGATACAAATTTTTTTCGAATTCTATTTAAGAATGGTTTGCTATTGAATTTTTAACTACTAAGTAATGTCTAAAAATTTAAAATATTTCACGCAATTATCTAATATTTTACCATTTTTTTTTAACTGTAATTTTGAAGATGTTTTCTTATAATAATTTAAAAATAAAATACTATAAAATTTTTAAAATTATATAGTTACCTCTATAACGGTAGATAATTATGATAAATAATTTTAGCGTTAGCGGCATTTATAGTCGTCTTTCATCGCAAAAAAAAAAAAAAACTTCCAAAAATATAATTTTCTGTAACTTTAAAATATCGCATTTAACACAACAGTAGTCATGCTGACAACGTGATGACAGATCTAATTTTTTTCTACGGAGATCTTATTTGTAAAAGTAAAACGTAATTAAAAAAAATGACGTTTATTTCTTTTTTTATATAATTTCTAAGTACTCAGCAATCTTAAAAAATTAGGAAAATATTCTAATTGAATTTCATAAAGTTTGGCTTTAAATTTACTAAAGTTATCGCTCTTATTTTCAAATAATGTCGTGTATGATGGACCGTACTTACAAAAATCGGGACATTCATTCACATGCGAAAAAAAAAAAAAAAAAAAGAAATCAAAATTCTTTAAAAAATATTGTGGTTTGCATTACGCATTTCCATTTATGATTAGTACATATAGTTTTCACTTAATAATAATATCATCTAAAAGGCTGAAATTAATACAGAATTTTAAAATTTAAAACTTTTTAATTAAAATTGAAAAAATGAAAACAATTCTTGTAAAATACGTTATTCATCAAAAATATTTTTTCTAATTAAATAATATCATAGTTTTATCTCATTTTTTATTTAGAGCAGAGCAGATTTTCGGTAAATTTTGACAAAAATAATTTGATGATTTAAATTCTCCAAGGAGTTCTGCTTTCAACTAATAAATATCAAGAAGAGGCTAAAATTTTTATTTCTCGAAATTTCATAAAATTAAGTAAATGATATAACAGATGTAAAAAAACAAAAATATTTTCACCAAGATTTTCTAAAGAAAAAAAATCAAAATTATTTCATTCATTTGTTGAATGTCCTGAAAATTTAATTAAAATCCGACAATTATTTGATTTTTGAAAGAATTTCCCAAATAATGTGTTTTTATAGCAAAAAAAGACGCTAAATTTCGTAATTAAGTAATCTTTGGCTTACCCGTTGACGCAAGAAAAACAAGATTTTTAAAGAAAAATTCGAACATGCCAGGAAGGATTAAAAAATTAAATAAAATAATAAAAAAATACTTTGTCTTTCATCTTAATAATAACATAAACATCTTAGCGATAAAACTTTGTTTTTATCAAGTTTGGAGACTTTTTTCATCAGTGTATGCTTTTTTTTTTTTTTAATAAAATCTTTGGACTTGAAGGTACCTACAAGCAATGATGAAAACATTTGTAATTAAACAATGTTTTTGCTTCATTGAATTTTTATTTTACGTTTCAGAGCAGATTTTCTGTAACCGGTGGTCCTGTTTTACAAAAAACATTTTTTTTCTAATTTGATGATTTAAAATTTAAATCATTGGAGAATTTAAATTTTAAATTCTCCAATGATTTGTGCTTTAAACAGAAACACCAAGCGGCACAAAAATGAGTTTCTTGAAATTTCATAAAATTAAATAAGTGGACTGGAGGGTAACACATGTAAAAATAATTTTTGACAAGATTTTCTAAAAAGGAAAAATTAAAATTCATCTGATTTTTGCGAGAATTTCCAAATCAATGTATTTTTCATCGCAAAAAGAAGTAAAAATTTCCCATACTAATTCAATTCGTGGTCACCCGCTGACGCAAGAAGAAAAACAAAACTTTTAACCCGATTGTTAAGGATTAAAAAATATTTTAATAATCAGAAAATCCTTTGGTCTTTCCTGAGGATTTCAATGATAAAACTTTGTTTAATTACGTTTTGGGGGCATTTTTTCATCGTGTATGCGAATGCCAATTTTTTAGCGAAGTTTTCGAGATAGCTAATTTTCATTGATTAGGTCAAAAGTACAAATTTAGTCTTCTTCTGTTTAGTTCTCATTTCAGCACCCCCTATTACTCATAGCACCGTAGATGGTGTATGAAATAAAAATAAAATAGTTGCTATCGCTGTGTCAACCAACAAGTCCATAACACTTTCTTAATGACCCTAATGAATGAAAACATCACATCACGTGATTTAAGTACTGCTCTTCCTACTTTTTTTCGCTCTTATTTTCTACCTACCCGACTCTCTTGTCAATATAAGCTCGTTGTTTCTCTTTCTGTGCTTTACAGGATCGGTGTGTTGCTGTGTAGTGTGCAGCTGATATAACGCCTGACTCCCATATTCCAAAAATTATAAACACCGAATTTCTCGTCAGTTAAAAAAGAAAAAAAATGGAGCCTGAACAAATAAGAAAAGAAATCGAAGAGAGTCTTGACAAGTTGTACGACCGAGACGGGGAGTCATGCCCTATTCTGAAATACAAGGGTGTTAATTTCCCGAATATTCCCACCTTACCAGAGTCTTTATCACAAATCCACCTCTTTCCAGCGCATAAAGATGACATCTTCATATGTGCATATCCATGTTGCGGTAAGTAGATTAAAAAAAAAATCATTTTTTTTGTCTAACCTACTTTTACTTAGATTTTTTTTCCTAATTGAATACAGGAAGAGAGATTTAAAGAGAGACAGACAGACAGACAGACAGATTAGCATGCGGAATATTGTTGAGAGAGGTTAATTTTTTAAATCAACCAAATATACACGAAAACGGGGGTACGCATGCTAACAGCTAAAAACAAACACTTTGAGATAATCTAATAATTTATTGCTCCACTTATCCTCAAAAATTCCAACGCATTTTTCTTACATACAATTGTCATTCATTCTGACCTGAAGAAGCCGAACCCAACACATGTCGTCGAAAACGCGTCGTTTATAAGTTTTTCCACTTTGTCTTATCATCTCTCTACTTTTGTTTAACACACGCATGCGCGCGAACACACACACACACACACACCTCTGAACTTAACAAACTTTTTTAGTATTTAAAAAATAATGTGCTTGACTTGTCATGACATCCATAGATATTACCCCAAATTATTGTGCCTATAGATTCATTTTTTGGGTCATTGCTTTACCACACGACACCTAAGGCAGTAAGAAACAGGATTTCACTCAGTTTTTTCACATACTGACTTTCAAAATCTGCAAATCAGCCCCGCTTGAAAGAATACTGACACAACAAAATCTTCCTAGCGTCTCCTATACTTTGTCTTGTTTGTACTGTGACTGTAACTTTATGACCAAGAAGTAGTGATGCAGTAGATTATAGCTCCCCAAATATTTGTGGTTGATATGAGAGAAAGACGGCACTCAGTAAATCACAACAAAATAAATTTAATGATCAGTCATCAAATTTAATAAAAAATACTTTAAAAAAATAAGCGGTTTTGACAAGAAGTGCATTTTAAATTTATTGTCATGAACACACTTAGTTTCGTTTTGAAAGCCAGTGTATTTAACTTTCAATTTACACAATTGTGATAATTTGAGATACTAGTCTAAACTTAAATTACTCGATCGGCATCTAAACTATTTACTTTTTTTTTTTTTCGTAACTGTCTCTGTGTTTATTGTTTAATCGTCGTAAAAGATACTGGAGATCGAATCATGAAATCACGCAAAGGATGTAACGATAAGACTCTTTAAGAATGAAAACAGAATTTTAAGATCCAATACACTTAATTCTAAAAATGATAGAAGTTTATTACTTAACTAGTGTGGCCGTGCCGTAAAAAATGACGGCAATTGTTAGATTTGTTGGGGATGTGCAGAAATTAATTAATTGTAATTGAGTGAATCAGAAGGAATTTGTGTAGGTTGCGTGACTTTCTGCATCCACAAACAAATAAATAAACGAATTTTGAATACAATCAAAAACAAGACATATTCAATTTAGAAACCCACAAAACATTTATATATAATTAAAAGTAATATACAGGATATTTTGGTATATGTTACTATGGCAAAGTGTGTGTGATATTTGAGGTTTCGGTATGTCTCTTTTTGTATTTGTATGTTCAGTTACAGTCTTTCTGGAATTGCGTTAATTAACATTAAAGATGTCGATGTTAAGTGTTTTTAGGAATGAGTTTGTAGGAATCCTTCAACTCGGTTTTTCGTTGAATATTAAAATTTGGAGTGTCGGGATTCAATACAATAATAAAATTTCGTTACAGGGTCGCTCGTAATTTGGCCGTCTAGAATAATCAAACGCTTTTCATCGAAGGAATAAAATTCAGTAAAAAAGACAACGTAGTTTCAACAAATAAATATTGATTTAATATAACGATAGGAATACAAAAAGTTGATGATAGATTGGAAAGTAATGTCTTTTGTTTGGGTTGATAAAGTTCTGAAATAAAATATAAACTGTCTTTGTGTACGTGTGTGAGAAACAATAAAATGTTGTAATATGTGTGTTTGTATGAAAAAGTCAACATGTGTGTGCGGGATTCATAATAAAAACGGATACGAATTGTTTCTTACTGTTGGCGGTGTTGCCGTGGTCTGGAGTTTGTCAACGCTGTCGTTTTTAACAGGAGGTCATGAAGGTCATCAGCGAGAGGTGTGTGGAATTTGGTGGCAGCCGCGTGTATATTGTTTTGGGAACGGATTTCGTATGTTTTTATACACTTTTTCCGAACAATATCGGCTCCATAATTAAATTATTTATTTATTTCTAATTGGCCCTAAGAAGTCACGTGGTATGTCTTCTACTACGTCCGTACGATATTTGGTCGGTATCTACCTAAAAATAATGATGACTAATACAACAAATATTCTGATTTGTAATCTATGATTTTATTGGTGTGTTTTAAGATGTAAGTGTTTTCTTGAGTGTGATTGGTTTATAAATATTGTAGTTGATATTTTAGTGGACACAAGTTCTTATAGAGTGGTCTACCTTTGACTGTAATATTTCTGAATCGTTCGAATGTTGATTTTTACTTAATAATGTAGTGAGTATAGTTCACTTTGGATAAGCAAAGTTGTTTTAGGTTTGCGATCGGATGTCCACATTTTTGGTCGAGTTTAAATTGCAAGTGAGTCAGCGTTGATGTACTTTTGTGCGGTAAAGTCGTGATAAAAAGTGACGTAGAGTATGTTGGCAATTTCTCTGTGGATGTTCGTCTCTGACCCTTTTGGTCAGTCGGTATTTTCTTTTATATGTTTTTGAAAGTCCAAAATCGGTTCAAAGAAGTTTTGGCGCAATTTTGTTTTGTACGTGAAACTTTCAGATTATTGTGTCGTTAACCAATGAGATTTGTTGATTCGCCTGGTACGGTTTTTTATTGGTCGAAGTTTTCCGTACGTAGGCGTAAGGTATAGACTGTTCTGTTACTAGCGGTGATAGGTAGAAAAGGACGAGTTTACAGATTTATATAGTGATTGTTAATTGTTAGATTTATATAGTGAGATGCAATGAAACAAAAATCTTGAAACAATGCATATTAAGATTCAATATAAAGCAGAGATAAATAATTTACAATTAATAGACCCGGTTATTAATTATGAAAAAAAAAAAAAAGAAAAAAAAGTCCAATCTTCCGTTACACCAATTATGATTTATTTTCCCCAGCTGATTTATTTTCGTGGAAATTTCCTAGAAAAAATGTCAATTGCTAGAAAATGGTCAATTAAAACTGAAAAAAAATGTTTTTATTCCAACCTTCCCGTTTATTAGACTTTGAAAAACAAAAACAAAACAACTTAAAAACGTCACCACATCTCGTTTTATTCAAGATCCAAGAATCGTGTTTTATTGTTGTACTAGAAGCCACACATAAACCAAAGTTAGAACGTTTATTGTGCCAAAGATTGGCCAAATCTAAATTAGAACCTGGAAAAATAAACAAATAAAACTGAATCATATTGTTGTAACCTAGAAATGGTTACTGAATGAGGAATAACCAAAACGGAGGTTGGGAATGAAATGGTAATGTTTAACATCAACAAAATACAATACTCACTAGCGTAAAATAGGTAAACCACTGCTAGTGGTGGACTACTTAGACAGCATATTACCCCCAACTTACAATAGTGTCCAAAGTATTTATGACGATTGAGACATACCCATTGGTGTTCATAGGATCGGTATATAACACATATACAAATAATAAAAAAATGAAGTAAAATATATCAAATAATTAGTGGATTTAAATAAAAATTTCAATATTTATTCATTGATTCTTGACGTTATTTATGAAAAACTTACTTTGTAAGAAAATCTTTTGGAAATTATATATATATACAGACGCGCGTGCGTCCGCACGCACGCACACACACACGCACACACACACACACACACACACACACACACACACACACACACACATATATATATATATATATATATAAAATATTTTCACCCTCAGGATCGTCAGGCTGGTTTCGCTACTGTATATCCTGCCACGTTGTATATATACTGATTTCATTCCAATTTATGCCATAAAAAGTTGCATATAAGACTTTTTGTTTTTTACTGGGTATTTCTTCTTTTCTAATTTTCAAACCCCAACTCCCATTGTATCAGTAGGAATATCCTTTTTGTATAAAAACAAGAAAAGAAAAGAGAACAAAAAACAAACAAAAAAAAAACGAATGTAATTTCAAAAGAGAAACAGAAGGAGAGGCAAGGGATTTCAAATAGGAGGAGTGGATTTTCAAAGAGAAAATGAAGGAAGAGGATGATTTAAAATCTCTAGTTCTTCTCTTTATCAATACTTTTATAGGCGCTAACGAAAAATACAAGACTTTAAGTCTATACAAAGTAAAATTTGTAAAGAAACAAACATTAAAATGACAAAATATTTTTACAATATACAAGTAGTACAAATATAGGACTTGCACAAAATTTCACTTGTGTGCAACAAACTATCAAGTCAGATTAACAATTCTTTGCGATGATAATCTGTTTTCTCCAAGAAAACAACAATCGATGAAAAATAAGTTTTTTCCTTAATAACAGATGAATTTTAATAAATTTCTTTTACAGCAACAGTTCATATAATTCAGTGCCTTAGCATCAAACGAAATTTTACTTTGTAAATTTCAAAAATTCAAAATCTCACACGTTGAAAGAGGGCGATGAAAAGTAGTTCACTGGGTTCTTTAAGCAAAATATGCAGGATTTCGGAACAGGTGTTCTCAAATATGAGATAAACTCTCGCAGGTTTAGAAAAGACATTCGAATGAGATAAATTCATAATTTTAGAAAAGACATTCAAAAATCAAATTTTGAAGATCCTTCTATTTCTTTATTTCTTCTTTTTCGTCACCAGTAAAAGTATTGGTAACCTTAACAGTCTTTAATCACCTCAATTCATATTTGTTCTCGCCAGAGTGATCCCAAATCACACCTTTCTCGCCCGAGGTGTCTATTTCCTTTCTCCTATATGACTTCCTTTACACATCAGAAACGGTCAATCTTTTCAGCAGCCGCAGCAAAACCAGCAGATTTTAGATGCATAAGACGGTCACTCCTTTCTGCACAGATCACAGCCTTTTCACCCAGGTGTGGTCTAT